CCGCCCCCCTGCCCACCCCCCCACACCCCCCCTTGCTACCACATGCACGAGACGCAGGGACACCTGCACATCCATGAGGACCAGAGAGAGCCCGCTCCCAGCTCTGCTCCGCCAGCCTCAACGGAAAAGAGAAAGGAGGAAAAAGCCGCGTTGCCCAGATCGAGAAGCGATGTTTTCGCTTTGTGATCTCTGCTATCACTGTTTTCCCAAAGGGCCAGTCGCTCCCGCCTCGGGATGCAGCTCTGTGCCCTGCTGCCCGCTCTGGCCTGCGCCACAGGTCGCTGCGACTCGCCTGCGGGCGCCTCGGCCCCCAGTGGGTTGTGGCAAAGCCGGTGCGTTACCATGAGCCACAACCCAACCGGCGCCGCATCAAGGCCTCGCCGTGCCCAGAGCGCCACGGGGCAGGGTGCAGGGACGAGGCCCAGGCTGCGGCGCTGCTGAGAGGAAAGTCCCACGGGTTGACCCTCGGGCCGCACTGGCTTGAGCCGCTGCCACCAGCGCCCTGGGAATGCGGCCCGGAAGGCGGGAAGCCCCGCGGGCCGCGCGGCGGCTCCCAAGCACCAGGGCAACTCGGGCTCCTCCGAGCGAGGCCCACGCGGACACCGATCGCAGCAGGTGACAAGGTCGGTGCCCAAAAGGCTGATTTGGCTCTCGCGGCCTGTCCCTCGCCTGAGCCTTTCCCAGGGAATATTGCTTTAACTTCAGAAACAGGCTCGGATTCCTATGGCACTCGCCGCTCCAGGGAGAAACCTCATGACCGAAAGAGCTGGGCCAGGACAAGCGTCCGCCTTGCACTTCACTTGGACTGTTTAGAGATTGTAGACAAAATAAAAAAGCAGTATTGTATCTATGTATACATGTATATATTTATATAATATATATACACACGCACACTCACATATAGCCAGCTTTCCTACAAGTCAGCAGGTACAAATTACTGTTGAGAGCACTCTGATGTGTTTTTTATTAATATTCTACCAATGTAAAAACATAATGGCAACCGTGACACGCATCAATAAATAGAGATCAGGAAAGCAGGAGGTTAAAAAAGATGAAATTAAATACAGATTCTAGCTGAGGATTTAAAGTTAGAGCTATCGGAGACTGTGGCATCCTGCAAGTTCAAACTGCAGTTAAAAAAAAAATTACAAAAGAAACCAGTAGACTGTTACAGTTCACATTATAAACCCTGGTGTCCTTTTCCTGCCCGCACCTTGGGAAAGGGAAGCCTGTTCAACCCGGGAAACTGGAAAAACTCACTCTAGCAGCGCTGCTTTCCCCAAAGCACCCCCAGTACCCGGGGGGGCCTCGGCCACATGTGGAGCCGGCGGTCGCGTCCCAGGCACTCCTGGGCTCCTCCGGGCGCGAGCGGCTCCCGTCCCGTCCTGCTCTGCTCCGCTCGCCCGCGTGCGCGCGGGTGCATCGCGCTGCACTGCACCCTGCGGAGCCCACGGTGTGCGGCTTCTCCCGTAATGAAGCTGCGAGTTTCTTCGTTGCTAGCACTGATTTTGGGGGTTTGTTTTTTGGAAAATGAAAGTCTTCCACTAGCGGTTCCAGCCTTAGACACACGGTTAAACCCTCCCTCCCCACCCCCCAGCCCCAGGCAACTTATTTTTCCTACCACGTCGCCCTCCGCCCTTACCGAGCCAGGGCAGCTCTCCGGACATCCTAGGATATGGATTCGCTTACGAGGAACGCTGAGCTCTGCCGAATGACCCCTGCTAAGCTCCCGACCAAATTCAAGCTGTGCACTACGTCAAAGTCTGAAACTTCACTTAAAAAGAAAATAAAAGAAGAGGTTAAAAAAAAAAATCTTCAGCAGAGAATGAGGTTTTGGGGGTGGGTATTTTGTTTTGTTTTGCGCCTTTTTAAAAATTTTTTCCTTCCTTCTTTCAGTTGTGGAGGGGGCATGAGGCCAGAATCCTGGTTCTGAAGTACACGACAGCAAACTTCTGACATGAAGAGATTGTCGCAGGGAGAGACACTGGTGTCTTGTATTGCTCCGCGTCCCCTCCTCCCCCCACCGCGTCCCCTGCCCCGGACACCCTGCAGAGTGAGGATACAATGAAACTGGTTTGTATTTATAGCTATTTTACAAGGTTAAATAAGAACAACAATAATAATAATAAAAAATTGAACACTAAAATGAACAGGTTGGTTGGTTTGTTGGTTGGTTGTTTTTTTTCTTTTTCTTTTTTTTTCTCCTCTTTTTAATTTTCTTTCCAAATGTGACCAGTGTTGCTGAGCAAGACTCAAATTACTGGTGATTTTTCCTGTGCAGCTGGCTGCTTGGTACCGGTTCAGGTGGAGTTGGAGGCTGATGCTGTAGCTACACTATTGGTCTGAACTCGTTCTCCTGCATTAACATCTGCAAACGACAGGCAAGAGGAAGGGAGAGAAGCAGCATTACCTCCAGGGTGCACACATTGGAACAACAGCCACAACATTCCAGTTGCAGGGAAACAGGGAAAGCCGCACCTGCCGCCGTCTTCCCGAATTCCAGAGGGGCCGTGGGAAGGAGCCGGCTGGCAGGAGGGCACTCGCTTCCCTAGCGGACGCGGCCCGCGCTGCCGGACCGGGGACGCGGGGAGCAAGCGGCTGCCTCGGTGCCCCCGAGGCCACGCAGGGGAACGCAGACCTGCTCCCGCGCGGCAGAGCAGAGAGGCGCCTCGCTGCTCACGAAGGCATTAGCGTGCTGAGAAAGCGGAACGAGATGCTGGGCAGCTAATCCTGTGCACCTGTGATCTTCCCTACAAGTCTGCCTTCCTTAACACTGGAATTGCTGGCGGGGGAAGAGGGGCACTGGTATTATCAGAAACCATCCTATACAGCACCCAATTAGCCCAGAGCTGAATGGGCGAAAGGTTAAAGGTATGAAATACTCAACACAACGAAGGTTGGGGAGAGATTTTCTTCAAGAGATCCCTCATGCAAAAGGCTTCCTATCTTGATAAAAGAGGAGGGTGCAGCGGCAAACAGAGCGCTCCACAGGCGCGGAGAAAGGGCTCGTGGAAACGAGAGTGTTTCCTGGCATCAAACTGAAGGACGTTACAACCAACATAAATAACAAAACTGTGTGGGTAGGCAGGCGTGTAACCGTACTCCTCAGATGAGCACAGAAGAGCTGGCTGAGCAATGCATCCGGGCAATTACTCCCCATTCACCTGTAAATTCCCCCCCTTTCCTCTCTAGCCAAGGTGAGCTGACCATCCTCAGAAGCAGAGTCAGGAGTAAGAGGCAACGAAATGAACAGAGAGGCTCGAAACAGGCAGCTCTGGGTGGGCAGTGAAGTGAGTAACAGACACAGAGAACATAAAAAACAAACATAAAGCAAACAAACAAAAAAAGGAAATCAAGTAAACAGCAGCACCCAGGACTAAAAGGGACAAGTGGGAAGAAAGGATGATGCCTCCTTGCAAAGGAAATGCCACGAGCAGCGTGTGGGAGGAAAGGGAAATTCTCTTGTGTGCAGAGGATGCCAGATGCCTATTCTGGGAAA